GTTTTCTATTGTTTAATTAGCACTATTTTGTACTATTTAGTTATTAGTGTTTCATGGATTAATCGTTTGCTCTCTACCACCTATATTATTATTCTAGAAAGGGCGTAGATAAAAAGTACTTTGTGTAATTCTAGTCACCCTACCAAATTGTGTAGGTTTGTTTGGTTTTTGTTTTACTTTATCTTGCTCTGCTCTGCTCTACTTATTTTTGTTTTTGTTTTTTTGTTGTTTTTTTCTTTGTTTTTTTAAAATTTATTTTATTTTATTGTGTATGCACACTAACCGTAACCATTGAACAAAATTAATAATAAAATAAAAATTAGCCAATCAGGAGAGAGCAGAATCAGTATCATATTGCCCTCAGGCAATCATTCCCACACTGTTGTTGATAACGTTCAAGTTTTATTCCTCAGATATCTAGGCTTCGTTGCTTGTTCCTGATTGGTTCAAGTTTGACTTTTTCATCCTTTTGCTTCCCCTTGAGATTAACTGACTTTCTGGTTTAACTTTCTTTACGTGGCCCCGGTCAGTGTGCCTGCACAATAAAAGAAAATCGCTTCACACAAAAGAGGCAAGTCAAGTCAAATAATATTTGTATGATTTTTGCTGTAAATTTGCTCTGCCAATTCATGTTTTTTTCGTTTTCAAAACGATAGATACTATTTAATTAGTATAGGAAATCGTATGGTTTTGAGTGCAATTTGGCATAAATTCGAACGCGTGGGCTTTCAAAGAGTTCAAAATTGCACGAGCCGTTGCCAGCTGAGCGGCGATTTTTGTTTCAGCCAATCAAAGCGCGTTTAGCTGCCTTGATGCCGGCCCTCATTCCCAGACTACTGTAACGCAACTTTTGCTTATTTTTCTGTCTTCTTTCGGCTAAAATATAACATACGTGTCTACAAGAAGCAGAAATATGTAAAGAAAGAATAGAAACAATTTCACTTTACTGCTACGTTTGCTTCGTTCTTTCAAGCTCCAAAAATGCTTAGGGCCGGTCATTTTGTCCACTCGTGGCGTTCACCGCTCATCTGGAAGCGAGTGCAATTTAAGCTCTTAGAAAACCCACGAGTTTTTTCTGCACTGAATTTCCTTTTTTCTGACTTTGTATACTTAAAACTGCATACTGCTCTTAGCCAATCGGAATCGGGAATTTTTTTAAATGTATATTATTAATGCTTTTAGAGTGAAGTTATTAAACCCGTGCAATAGATATTAGACTAATACACTTTAGTAGACCCTAATTCCATTGTTTTCTTTTGTGTCTATTTGACTATTACACGTTGACTAATAATTTTTATTTCACGGGTCAAATGCCTTCACTCTAAGTATTACAAATTAGAATTAAAAATTAGTTTAAAATAGCATCATTTTTAAGCAATGAGATTGCAGGATTTAGTAGTGATTACAAAATGGATATAATTAAACCTGAAATATTTTTAGGATTTGAAGATAAATCATATCAAAATACGAATCAAATCAATCCCAACCATATTCTATTCAGGAGACATAAAAACCAGTATTCTACGTTCACCGGTAAAGCTAAGTCTAGAATGCCTACATTTAACATTGTCAAGAACTAACACGTCCCCATTTCTCCATGGGAATCCTACTGTACATTCCCAACTTATCTTCCTGATGTGCTGGATTACTTCTGGTTCGATCTCCTTGCCGTCGCCATAAGAAGTATGTAAAGGACATTGCGTGTCGCTCTCAAAATGCATACCCTTCATCATTGGTGAAGACTTGAAATAGGAAGAATGGTGGGATTCTATTTGATTGAACCATACTTTTTCTCCGGTGATTGGATGGTACTTAGTTGGTGGTAGTGTAAGCCAGTAGAAAAGGCTGTCGTCATCTTTGTTCCATTCGTAATAAAAGCCGTTTGTTTCCAGATACTTTTCAACCTTCTGAATAAAATAGATAACATAATTACAATATGCATAGAAAGAACGAATGAACAGAAAAGAAGAGGTTTAAAAAACAACGCAAAATAAATAATTTTAACCTAATTTCAATTTTTTCATTCATTTATTCGACCGATTAACATAGGTTTACACTAATCATTTGACCTCTTGCCCTGATAGTCTACGAGGCTATGGGCCTCAGGTACTATTGACTCGTAGGACATTCAGGCTTCGGTTGCAATTGCTAAATAGCTCGCAGGCACTAAATTTCAATTATGTTATAAATATTAGTTTTCTTCGAAGGGAGAACTAATTTTACGACGATGAGTGTTTATCTCTAAGTGTATTGAACCATAGGCCAACCCGCCTGGTGAAGGTTATAAGGAACTTCTTTGAAAAATGAGTTTTTAAGCCATGTGTATATTGATTATTCAATACTGAGTTTTCCGAACGGCAAACGGGTCAATAAAGCCAGATCAAACGTCGAACTTCACATGAGCCGAACCTAATGACATCAAAGAAGACCGCCTTGTTATCCATATTATATCATTAACGTCCGTATTTAAAGAGATGGGAGAGAAACTATTAGAACAGGTTGGATAATTAATAAAAGAATCTGTTTTTAATACTTTTATTTTTTCTATTATTTCTAAAGCCCTCGGGTTCAGTACCACTAATAGTTCAGCCAATCACGACGTAATTTACTCTATTAGTAGTAAACGGTTAGGAATTACCTTACGGTTGTCAGTACCAAATGTGACCTGCCAGGGGAGATATCCTTCGCCACTTGGTAAGGTTCGCATGTAACGGACCTGCTTTTCTTCGAATTTCTGCACCACCTTTGTGTCAAGCTTTTGTAGAATCTCGATGTTACTGCTTATAGGCGTCAAACCCCGACAACCTGGTGCAGGTGCCATGTCACAATAAAATATGATCTGGAAATTAAAGACGTGCATGGGATTAATATTATTTACTTTTACCTTTATGTTAGAACTAGGAATAAAACCGAAATATATTAACCTTACTATAATTCTTATTGATAGGGCTGCAATCAATTGCAAGCATGACGAAAACATGGAGGCCGTCTTTGCCCTATTTCTAAAGTTTGATGTAGGGTTTGAATTTCGATGGAAAAACTATCCCGGGTTTCAAATTCAGCCCCGCTCTTCCCTGTGAGCATCAATGCTACTGAATTCAAAACCCGTGAACAGGTTTTCCATCCCCGACATCAAACAATAAAAATTAGGCGTGGTTAGTCAGTTTAAACTAGACTTAGTTCCTACTTGCAATGTTTTCTTCGTTATTTGTAGGGCTTGATATGAATGATAAAGACCGCCAGTGAATAAAATATATAAATGTGATCTTACCTTATTAGGATAAACTGCAGAATATGCCATATCGCTGTGAGGTTCGATGTTCAAGTCCTTATTTTCCGAAGTGGATACGAAAGTAAAAGCCTTTTTATCAAAGACTGGCCTATCCACTGCACCTCCCTCGTATCCCATTGGAGAATATCCTATGGCATTTGTAAAAACTGAGAACTGTTCTCCTTTGCTCAAGGGAAGGCCTCGAAATAATATTGCACCATACTTTGATAGTTCATTATCCAACAGGTGTCGGCAATTTTGAGCCCATTCTGATATGGAGAACTTGTCAGCGTGCTCCACTTGTAAAGCATGAGGTAAATCTTTTCGAGGAACTCCAAGGAACTTTGGGAAACCCTTGTCATTAGAACCTGCCAGATATCTTACGCCTGCTAAAGAGTATTTTTCCTTTGAAGCCAGCTTACTAGGATGAATATGGGAGAAAAGATCATTTTCAGATACTTGAGATGCCTGGTATGACCTTAAAAATAAAATAAATGCAGCTAATTAGTCATTATTTAGTCCTCCTTATACCCAGGTTTTACACAAGGGAATATGATAAATCCAGCGCGCTAATTGGTCACAATTTACTGGTATGATGTTATATTTTTTCCCGGTCCGGTATCCTAAAAAATCATGCGTTCTGATTGGCTGTTTGAGCGGGCGGTATTTTGTCAGTATCTGCTCGCGCTCGCGGTCCGGTATCCTTTGCCGCTAAACGACAACACAAAACGATTACAAGAACAAGAAAAAAATACAGGAAAAAATAAATTAGATGTTTACCGTCCTATTTTCGGTCCGGATAGGGATAAACTGTGCCCTCGGTCTTGAAAACGTATATTCAAGCCCTCGGGCAAAGTTTTTCCCTATCCAGACCGAAAATAGGACGGTAAGCATATCTATATTCACCTACCGTTTTTTTTTTTTTTTTTTTTTAGACAAGGCCCCATGAATTAATATTATATTGTTAATCGTACTGTATTTGCTCAGTGCGGAGTGGATTGTGCCAGTGCTCGGTTTTGATACCATTTACGAAGGATTAGGAACATTTGTTTATGACTTTTTTTCAAAAAATTATTAAAGATTATTGCTTAAAGTCTTTCTATTATAATCACATGCATTTGCATAATTATGCAAATTTTGATGTCAACACGAGGCCGTTTCGGTACAACTAAGCTAGAAAGGCAGAACTTTATAATCATTATCACGTGTCACTATAGTATGATCTGCTTTACCAAACTACTAGTCAAATTTTAGAGCCTCATTTGCTAAGTCATCTAGATCAACAAGATTTAGCAATCAATTGAACATTATTACTGGGTTGTCTGTGCAAACTAATAAATAACGGAGAGAGTTTTTAGTAGTATGTTATGTTGCGCACAACCCCTTTTTTGGACGGGGAAGGGGACGGGGAAGGACGGGGAACATTAATTATTCATCGATCATTAGCATAAAACGACGGGTAGGTATTGTTTCGGGTTGCCATGACGACCAATTGACGTCATAAGACTATTGTTGACCGGTATGAACAAGTCTTTGTTTCGGGAATGGTGGGCCATTGATGGGCACATTAATTATTCATCATTAAAACGACGAGCAGACTATTGTTTATTAAATCATTACCATAAAACGACGGGTAGGTATTGTTATGCAAGTTTGTGCAAGTTTTTGTTTAGCAATCCAATTTATAGAGCGCGGGGATTTTGAATTTTATTCCAAAACTCAACCAACCAAGCACGCAAGACCTAAAAAAATTACTTTAGAGAAACGCAATGGCTACGTTATTCCAGTTAGGATCTCGAGGATATCATGCTACCGTCAATGAATTCAAAGGGCAGATCCTGATCCACATCCGA